AAAACAGTCTTCAGGGAGTACGAAAGCACGAAAGCACGAATGAAGTTTTCGCTTTACAGTCCTCAATTATTGCAAGAAACAAGTTTAATCTTTGAAACACGGTTTCATAAGGTCCTGACACTATTGTGTCAGAAATAAGTCAACCATTGACATCTGGATTTATTTCGGTAGTGGTTCAAGGTTCCTCTTATTAAGGAGCAAAATACCCGAATGTATCATAGTACATGCAACAACCAAAATTGAATGGATCAAGGCAGGTTTTACTAATTGAAGTTGAAGATTTGAAAAAATATTGGCAGAGGTGCCGTATGGTGAAATAAATGATCAATCACCTGAATCTAGTTCTGCTTGTTCGATAGCCTCGTCGGCAGTCTTGACCCAGCAAGGTTGCTTGTCCGGTATTGGCATGGAAGGCTCGTTCACGTAGGTGAAATAACTTTTCTTCGTGGCTTGGAAGCTGCAAGCACGAGTGCTGGCAGTCAATGTGTTCAGTGTTTTCGAGAGGGTGGTTATTCTCTTTAGGGCCGCCATGGTTCAGATGCACTGTGATCTTCTGTCACTGTAACGCGAGGACACAGTGCCGAATGGAACGATGATAAAGCTGTTCGGGAGCAAATTTCCGTGGAACGCGGCAAAGTCGCGGATCAACGAGACCGTGGGATTTAGAGCGAAATTTTAGCGGAATTGTATTTTATCGAACCGCACGTATATCCTCGAACCAGCCGCCACCGTGTCTCACAGTACAGTCGCGCCTCTTCGGCGCGAAATTGTCGGGAGTAGCTCTGTATCTGAAAGCAGTGCCACTACACCGAGTCAATTCGCGATAAGAGTTTCCAACGGTAGATGGCCTTTCGTCGCACTCGATTCTCGTGAGTACTCGTCTGTGACGTTATTAAAAGAAATATTTAAAATACGATGAAAAGGAAACGAGGTCGATGGAAATCGAATGTACTGATACATACGATTACGTATCTTGTATTTCGTTCCTTCGGTAACCTAGAACAGTGTACAGCATTCAAAGATTCATTTCAATAATTTTGAGAATTCTTTTGGTAGATTGTTGAACTTGATTTTAGAAGGAATAAAAATACAAGTAAAAGGGGATTAAAGGAATAATGAGGCTAGTCGTACGCTATGATTTCTGTGCGATCTCACGTGGCACGAATTCAATTTGAATTTTCCCGCGCAATTATTGAACTACGACGGTTGCGAGAAAAAACTTAGTGGCTCACTTCAAAACTATTCCATTGTAAAGTATTATTTTTCTTCTGGCATTGTTTTCTAGATATTCAATGGTTCATTTGTATTGCGATAGAGCTTATAATAGAATAGATTTTATTTGTAATAAATGTGCAACGAATTACTTAGTTCGAGCCACGTGATCGCACGTGCCCCTGCGTCTATCTTTATCAGTTACCTGCTATTCACTTTATCTACAAGGTTGTGGGAACGATGGTTTTCTGAATTGGTATTTTTTACGGTGTACTAATCATATAATTAACAAAGAATCTCGCATTCGGTTCCGTTGAAATTTTTCCTTGATTTTCAGCGTTCGTTCCATTATAGAGTACACGTTTCCTCGATATAAGTCGAACATTCGAAGTCATCCCCCACTCTTGACGTTTCAGTCTGTCTTCTTTTATCGAGACTCTAGTGGCAGTACCTTCTGCTGTTTGGCCGACGTAACAGACCAGAGAAATCACTCGGCAAAATGTATTCGAAAACTATTGGAGACCGTCAAGCTACTCAAGAACATGTTTTGGCTGTTTCAAGAGACTTTATTGCACAGCCTCGGCTCAGTAAGTTACCATATTCGTTTCTTTAAAATGTACGGGCGTAAATTCGTGAATTGGAAACACTCGACGTAAACTGGGCGTAGCAGTGGATCGATTTGCGACTAGTCAGCTGATCTGTTAAGCTGTTTGCATTTACAATTGTTTATGATAAATGTTCAAAGATGCTTGTAATACATACAAACTTTTCGAACGACCGACTATTCTTGGCTCGAAAAATTAATTTACTGTTAGATTCTCTCTTTAGAGAAGTACCATTCAACTATCATGTGACTGCAGACGCAGACATTGACATAATGAATTCCGACAAATTGTTTTAGCGGGCTTTTAATTGTATCTAGGTACGAACAATTGCTTAATTGACATTTTTCGAATTTTCAACGATTGTTTTGTTAATAAACAATTTATGGAAATACTTTGGATGGTGTTTCATATTTGTTTCTCATTTTTGTAGCATACAAGACTGTGTCGGGTGTAAATGGACCCTTGGTCATATTGGATGAAGTTAAATTTCCAAAGTTTGCTGAGATCGTTCAGCTGAAGCTTGCCGATGGATCTGTGAGATCCGGTCAAGTCTTAGAAGTGTCTGGATCAAAGGCAGTGGTTCAAGTATTCGAGGGCACTTCCGGCATTGATGCGAAAAACACTCTGTGTGAATTCACTGGTGACATTCTTCGGACACCAGTGTCTGAGGATATGTTAGGCCGTGTTTTCAATGGATCTGGAAAGCCAATTGATAAAGGTCCTCCAATTCTTGCCGAAGATTTCTTGGACATTGAGGGTCAACCAATCAATCCCTGGTCACGTATTTATCCCGAAGAAATGATTCAGACCGGTATTTCAGCCATTGATGTTATGAATTCTATTGCTCGTGGTCAAAAGATACCTATCTTCTCGGCAGCTGGTTTGCCACACAATGAGGTACTGTACATGCATGTGGTATTTTACGTGCACAGTTGTGTAATTTAATCTCTGATTATATTATTTTACATAGATTGCTGCACAAATCTGTCGTCAAGCTGGTCTTGTCAAGGTGCCTGGAAAATCAGTCCTGGATTCTCACGAAGACAACTTTGCTATTGTATTTGCTGCCATGGGTGTTAACATGGAAACCGCCCGTTTCTTCAAACAGGATTTCGAAGAAAATGGTTCTATGGAAAATGTGTGCCTGTTCTTGAACTTGGCCAATGATCCTACCATTGAAAGAATCATTACTCCACGTCTGGCTTTGACTGCAGCTGAATTCTTAGCTTACCAATGTGAAAAACACGTTTTAGTCATACTTACCGACATGTCCTCTTACGCCGAAGCTCTTCGTGAAGTATCGGCTGCTCGAGAGGAAGTGCCGGGACGTCGTGGTTTCCCCGGTTACATGTACACCGATTTAGCTACGATATACGAACGAGCAGGTCGAGTAGAAGGTCGTAATGGTTCTATTACTCAAATTCCAATCTTAACTATGCCAAACGACGATATCACTCATCCTATCCCCGATTTAACTGGATACATTACCGAGGGACAAATCTACGTTGATCGTCAGCTTCACAACAGACAAATTTATCCACCTGTTAACGTACTCCCATCTCTGTCTCGTTTAATGAAGTCTGCTATTGGCGAGGGCATGACCCGCAAGGATCACTCAGATGTGTCTAATCAATTGGTAAGAATCTTACAATAATAATCTTTCAGACTGTAAGGATATTGTGAATTTACTTACCATTTGATTTCAGTACGCTTGTTACGCCATTGGAAAAGATGTGCAAGCTATGAAAGCTGTTGTCGGTGAGGAAGCTTTGACACCCGATGATTTGTTATACTTGGAATTCCTTTCTAAATTCGAGAAGAACTTCATCTCTCAAGGTGGTTACGAAAATCGTACCGTTTTCGAGTCTCTGGATATTGGCTGGCAACTGCTGCGTATCTTCCCCAAGGAGATGCTCAAGCGAATCCCAGCCAGCACTCTCGCTGAATTCTATCCGAGAGATTCTCGTCATTAATTTTCTTATTTTATAATTCAATTTTCATCTTCCCGAAAACTCCATGAAAAAATGGCAAATAAAAATTGGTGAATAAGACCTGACCTAACAATGAAATCGGAACAGAGAGAAAGTTCACGTGGATGAAGTAATTTTCAATGAATGAAATTGTTGTAGCATTTTTCGTCAACCGGATTGGAAGTTATTTTCGGAATTGTTTTCGAAAAGTTACGTAACGTCGTTTTCATCAATTATAAGATTAGACAATAATAATAAGTGTGGGCTATTAAACAACGTTTGCACAAGACGTACGTGTAAAGGTCAGGACCATGTTATGCTGCTGAACGTTAATTCTGTAGCGTTACTGTAATTTTAATTATATTTTCTGTTTTACCCGAATGTTCGCTTACAGAAAGTGAGTGTGTAAAGTGTAATATATTACTCAGTATTAACATAGAGGAAAAAAAAGGTACGATCGAATCACTTTTTTGTCCTACATTCCAATAGAAAAATTTTCGTTCGCGCCCCTACGAAACAAGAAAAGGAGAAAAAAATGTTTGTCTGACATTTGGCGCGAACGTCTGAAGTTGTACGGATAAATAACATTTTGAATCGTATGCTGCAAGCACTCTTGTTGCTTTGATGTTATATAGAATAGTATTCTTGTTTCAGAATAAATATATAAATTTAGTTTAAATATACATGAATTTATCAATGCTGGTAAAAATAATGAACAGCCTAAAAAATGCAACTGCATGTGCACGACGCGAAGACTCGCGCGTATTGACCAAGGAGAGTTAAGTACAATACATAATATATATGTACATGTTCTGTTTGCTTTTTATTATTTTACAAGAGAATAGACTGGATCGAGAAAACATATGGTTGTAGATAACATCTTATAAACTATATATACTCATTCTGTGGAAAACATGTTACATATGTTGAGAATCTGTGTAATTATTCCTTCTGCAAATTTCAAATATTATATATTATTGATTAGTTGTCAAGTTTTGGCTGTTAATTGTTGTACTGCTAGCTGGACACGGAGCTCGATGCAGGCATCCTTCTCTTCTATAATGCTGCGAATTAAGGTGGTCATTTTTTTCTGAAATTAAACGAAACCAAGACATAAAAATCGATTGATAATTATTTTATACGACTAAACATAACGCGAATACCTCCAGTAACTGATTTTCTTTAGCCAACTGAATCATGGCGGTCCATTCAGCTTCGTTTGGCGAATATACCCTTTCCTGTTTTTCTGGTTTCTTCTTCTCTGGACCTCGCTCGGCTAACATTTCCGTTAATCGTTTTATTTCATTCCTCTCTTGATTTATTCGCGATTTTAGCAACGCCTGCATGTTCAATAATTCTTCGTAAATTAAGCTCTCCCTCAGCTTGTCTATAGCATTTTCAGGCTCGGGTTCTACTACTGAAACTAAAGCGGTGTTTTCATTCACGACGAACTGATATTAAGTGTAGAACAAATTTACCAAAGTTTATCTTTACCATTCTCACTTGTCCTGGACACTGCGGTATTTTCCTGTTCACTGGCTTGCGATGCAACTGTGGCTGTCTCGGCGGAATCAACGATATCTTTGTCTGTCGTCTGACTACTTCTTTCATTTTGATTGGCATTTGTACTTATCGGTTCTTTATTGTCCTCCGAGGTGTGAACTTTGTTAATCCTTTTTAACGTCGAGGTAGACGGTGTTTGAATTTCAGACTTGACGTGCGTCGAATCTTCTTCGTCGACTTTAGCTTTCTGTACATTCGTTTCGACTACCGTTTCATCGGTTGACTTCACTTCCTCGTCTATGCTCTTCTGGGTCGCACCTTCTATTTTTTGAACCGTTTTATACTTTCTCTAAGGAAACCAGAAAATTTATCTTGCGCAAGGTGTACAGGTATTTGTACGTTTAATTCATTTTGAAAATCTGACCTTCAATTGGGTTATCATACGTTGCACTTCCCACAGTTGTTCCTCGCGCGATTTAGTAACAAAACCTGCGTTCATTTGCATGTGTATCTGCGAGAGCAACGACTCTTGCTTAGACAATTCAGCGGCAATACTTTCCACAGAATCTGGAAGATTGACACAGCCGGATGAGAGCGGCGGAACATATTTTGTTAATTGTACATTTGGAAAAAGGGCTTTGCAATGGAATAACAAAGCTAGTAACAATCTATGACTCATTTGTAGGACGGGGCTTAATGTCATGGAGATGGTTTGAGCATTCATTTTGGTTGTTTTCTCCTGAAATATAGTTTACTATGAGAAATATATATCTATACGAAGTTTAAAATATCTTTCTTCAACGTACTCGTGCCGTGACGTGATCTAAATGCAATATAACCCACGCGAGAAGAACCTTGTTGCATTCTGGAAGCTGCTGAGTTAACTGTAACAACTGTACTTCTCTTTGTGCAACATCTTTTGTGGATGCTGCTTGCTCAAACCTAGATATCATTTCACTGCTTTCCAGTACAGGCTCTGGTAGCTCCCTACAATAGAAAAATTTCGATTTTATTTTTTTTTTATATTCAATGAAACGTTATAATTAATCATAGAATGCGAACCTAAGAAATAATATCAATAAACTTGTAGCTACTGTAGGTTCGAACTCTGATATATTTACATGCTCCCTGTTGTTGTATAACTTTTTCAAGTACTGAACTTTCGATTTTACTCCGGGAACTTTGTACAAACCCTCTATGTTCATTCCATTTTCTTCCACAAAATCAATGCAATTTCTTACAACTAAAGGCAGTTCAACACCATCGTGACAGCGACTACGTTCCACTGCTAAATGTAGGCTCACACCAAATACTGGCTGCTCTTCTGGATTAACAATTTCAGAAATTTTAAATACAAATTTCATAGCAAAAGAAGTATGATAATTATATATCTGTGTATTCTACCTCCAATGTCTAAACATTCTTCCCCAATGTGCTTTCCTTTTTTACGGTCCTTCAATTTTTGTTTTGCCTTGTCCTTCTCCTTTTCCTTGCGTTTCTCTTTGTCTACATCTTTTTCATCCTTGTCTTTCTTCTTCTTATCTTTTTCTTTTTCTGCATCCTTCTCTTTACCTTCCTTTTCCCTGGATTTCTCGCGTTTCTCCTTCTTTGAAGGAAATTTGAAGGCTTTGGTTTTCTTTGACTTTGATGGACTTCTATCAGTTAAACCATTAGCACATTAATGAAATATAATATGTTATAAAAAATTAGTTCCAATATGCCATCTATTCATTATCTTTTGTTGCATAGATTACAATTACTTTTATAATAAAATACACATTCACTATTGACATGAGTATCAGAACAATGAACAATATTAAATCATAAATATTCGTTATTAGTTTATTTTCCATTTGAAAATAATTCACTTTGAATTGCTGAGCAACTGCACACACATGGAACACAAATCAATACACCTAAATTTAGAACAATGTGAAGCCTAATTAGCATGACAGTGCCAACAATATGTGAAAATTAAAATTACTTTGTGGTGTGACTACAATATTGTAAAAAAACAAAATTGTCAAATGATTTATCTTGTTAATTACTTAAGAAATTCTTTAAAAAATCCAAGATATCTTGAATTAAATGGAATTTAATATTAAATCCATAGAAAATCGAATGACTTCCAATAAGGATGACAGGATCAATCAATATGATCTTTGAATGTATGGAAAATTAATTAAAAGGATATTACTTTGTTTCCTGATCCTCGTCAGGGGAACTTTCACCCTCTAAGGTGGCATATCCTCTATCTTTTCGGTCTTTCTTATCTTTGCGTTTACCACCGAGGAGTTCTTTTTTAGAATGTTTCTCGTGTCCACCTTCATCACTGACTAAAAAACACGTGTACATGTACATTCAGTAATTAATATAAATAGAGCATTTTTTACACAAAAATACGGTGTGTCATTAAAGTAAGAGGAATTCGCAAAACATTTTAATATTTTTTCACAGGAATGACAGATGTATAACCTCTCATTTGAATCTGCACGTATATTTGCGAGAAATAATTAATTTGACGAACAACGATACGTACAATCACTTTCGTTACTTTTCTTAGCGGATTCCGACGCGTACAGTCCCGGGAATTCTTTTTCTACATCGGGGCTTTCGAAATCCATTCTCCGTCACTTAAGTTGCTTTAACCGACTTAAAAATTCTGTGTCGAACTATCGATCATTTTCTTCGAGATTCCGGTCTCGATTGCTCGAATTTACTTCGACATGAAATCGATTATTTCAAGCGCGCGAAATTTTCGTAATTCTTTTAACGACATTACAGACGATCGATACAAATTTTAGTATTTTTTCATTATTATCAATTATAATATGATAGTTTGTACATTTCTATTAAGTTACTTCCTTTCATACATCAGAACGAAACCATGGTTTAAAAACGTAACCATCGGCTTCTTTGCCTGCCATGTATGTAAAGAAAGCTTTTTTAAATGATAAATCTGGAAATTTTCCATAATCCATTGTGTTCCACATTGATCGTGCATATAGAACACGATTTTTGCGAACTTGGCTGTGGAATATCGCTTTTTTCTTTCCAATCTGTAAAGGAGTAAAATGATCTGTACAAGAGGAACATTATTTGTCTTGGGTACGAACAAACTTGTTCTTTCATTCTTTCTGCATCATTGAAAGTCAGCTTCCCCAGCTGAACTTTCGTCATGTCCAACAATGGGGGTTCACTCTTGGCTGATTTTTTGGCATCTACTTGATTCCACATCATAATGCTCTTCCGCACCGAATCACCTGTAAGAATGTAGTAAAATCAGTACACCATACTAATCATACGCAATATGAAATACTAAATTTACTTCTGTCTGTATCAGTAAGAGCAATTCCTTCCATGTACATCACCCAGTACTTCACTTGGGGCATTTGAAAGCATGCCGGTAATTTTGCAAACAGAAATCCTTCTGTTGCCATTTTTCTTAATTCACCCTAGTCATTGTATTTCATTTACATTATTACATTCAGTAAAAAATCGACTAAGAATCAAATTAATTTACCTTCACCAAGCTCATAAGATAAGATTCATCAGAAGTTTTTTCTTCTTCTTTATCAGTGTTCTCTTCAAATTCTTTATTAGACTTAACAAGTTCACTTTGTAAATGAGAATCACTTTTAGTTCCTTTGGATCTTATTCCTTGGGAACTTCGTGACTTTGTTAATACATTTGCTTTCATGATTTTTTGAGGATCAGTTTTCTCTAGATTGGCAACTTCTTGAGAACGTGATCTTTGTATATATCTTTCCTCAGACGTTTTATAAGCAGGCGAAATGTTCTTTACTTTTTCTTTGTTTTTATAATTTTCCATCTTCCTTTGTGGACTTGTTCTAATTTTAGAGATACTTTGCAATTTTGATCTTCTAATATCTTTGTTACTTTTGGAAATATTACTTGATTTTCTTCGTTGTTTGATTTGTTTGGGAAATAATGTTGTATCATCGCTTTCTTCTATATCCTCATCTTCTGAGACTGTGTTTGAATGACAAGGCTTACTGCAACCATGAGTACCATGTGTGTCATATACACTATCAGGTACATGAATTTGTCTGTATGCTTCTTCCACGGCTTCCTTTCTTCTCTTCTCCTCTGCAAGTTTAATTTCTTCTGGTTTTGGTAATGGACCAGGAGGAATGTTTATGGGGGACCAATGGCGATGTAGACAGACGCATGGTATCTGTTCTACGCTTGGTTCAGGTGTTTGAATAGGAGTGGCCATATGTACACCACCCACTATCGGTTTAGGCGGTTCTTCTGTGTAATTTTCAACAACACCAGTTATACAGTATTTAACATCATCTATATATTCATCTTCCTTTGGAATTCTCTTTACTCCAGATATCATCAATTTCGTGTCAGCAATCACTGGCTTTGAGGTATCCACAACATTTACAAACGGCTGCTTTTTTAAGGATTTTAATCTCTCCCGGCGTTCCTTCCACTTCATTTTTTCTTCCTTATTTTCAAGTATTTTCCTTTCATATTTACACTCACAAACTGGTCTTTTTACTTTGAGCTTTCTGGAAGGTGGTCTACAGCCCACTTTATTAAACTTACCACACTTCAGCCAACAAGGCATTGAATCTCTACACCGAGTATAATAGTCCAGCAATCCTCTATCTTTCAGTGCCAATTGCCATCGTTCTGTCGGCGGTAACGCTTCTATTAATGCTTCCCTCTTCTTATCATCCTCTTTCATTCTTTTCTCCTCTTCAGTATCTTTCGTACCATGTGTATCCACAGATTCATTACATTCGCAAGGCTCATTTCGCTTTAATATTTTTGTTGTGGATCTACTAGGTACACTGAACTGGGCAAAGTATTTCAGATTTTCATCTGTGCGTTTGGAGAGACACATGTCATATGGAGAATCGTAAAGGTCGTATTCAGGTACATATTCATCGCTCCTACGTGGACTTGGTGGTGGAGTGTGATAAATAATGCCATCTATTACTTGTAATTTTTTCTCATCTTCATCTTTCTTTTTCTTAAGTAATTTATTATTGATATTGTCTGTGTCGTCTTTTTTTCCACCTAACAAACCTCCAATGTTGTACATCAGTATCTTCTTCTTTGCTTTATTTTCACGACAAACGCATGGTTTACCTCCTGGTCGTACTTTTATTGTTTCTGGAGGGTAATCTGGTTCAGCGAGGTAAACCAACGTCTTCTTCGTTGGTAACTGTTGCTCTGATTTTGTTTTCCAACCGCAAGGTCCCTTACTCGGTAATTGTACACTTGTTTCTTCTTCATTTTTTACAGGAACGTCTTCGATACTTGTATCCTCATACTCGTGTGCACACTTTGTGGGAGGATCTTTTGGAAGATCCACCGGCTGAACATTGTAAGGATAATTCTCAGGAGACATCAGCGCATTTTTCCAATTCAGTATTTGCTTCTTCAGGTCGATGCCTGCATCTTCAACATTTTGTGTATCTTTCTTTTTATGCTTCTTTTTGTCCAAGTGAGACACTTTAGTTTCCTTCTTTTTTCCATGTTCTATAGATGAACTTTTTCTTGGATTTCTAATTTTTTTACTAGTCTCAATTCTCGCTACATCCTCGATTTTTGATTTCCTGTTCCTTTTACTAGTTTTATCTTCACTATTTCTTGCTCTTTTAGACGTTGACTCCTTAACTGGTTTTGTTTTTGTGTCAGTGTTTTTACTTGGCTTGTTATGTAATGAATTCTTATCACTTTTAACATTTAAATTTGAACGATTAGAAGTTGTAGGTCTTTTAGTTTCTCTTGTTTGAGGATTACTAGGTTCTTGAGGTTTTAACGCTTTATAATCCTTTGTTTCACGACTATTTATGGTTTTTTCCACAGGAGAGGTTGGAGAGGTTCCTTGAGTACCCTTTACAGCAATTGATTTTGTCTCTTGTTTGTTTAATTTTCCATTAATTTTAACTTTTGAAGGAGGATTTTTCTTTTGTTTATCCTGTTTCGTTTCCAAATCATTTTTGTGCAATGAAGACTGACTCTTTTGATGATAATCTGTTGCTAATTTGGATTCTACAGGTGTGGCAGGTGGTTTTGGAGAACTGAGTTTCAATAAGGCTTTAAAGTCTGTTTCGGACTCTTTTTCTGTTGGTGCTGTACGATGAATATTCCACGCATCGTCGTAGCCAGGATAAAGGGGATCCGGGACAAACTTTGTCACCTCCTTTTCCATTGTTCTTTGCCTAACAGCCAAACTATCTGGACTCATTAAACATTTCTGATCTCTTCTTTTCTCTTTCTCTTTCACTGCTTCTCCAGGTTTTGCATCCTCTTTCCTTTCTTCCTCCTCTTCTTCTTCAAGATCTTCTTCATCAAATTCTCCAGATATTTCCTTTAATTCTACTGTTGGTTTTTTAAATGGTACTCGTTCACCAAAAGGACCTTTGCAGACTGCGCTACCAGGTTTTGTACCGCATGGTGGACCCTACGTAAATCAATGATGTAAACTAAAAATATTCATTAAATTTAAATTTTACAAAATATGTATGTGTATACCCTCAGTATTTGTTTCCTCAATTTTTCTGCTTCTTCCAACTCCTGCGGAGTTAAAGTATGCAAAGTACCCCAAGGTGCTCCACAAATACTCATACCATGTTCATCCCCGCACGGCTGAAAATCCGCAATACTATACATCCTCTTCTTTCCTGAAGGGTCTGCAGCTTCCTTCTTCGCTCTTTCTGCTCTTCTCTTTATTTTCATTATTTCTTGAAAGAATGGATTCCTCCTGCACGATTTGTCGCCAGGATACATTTTGCAGGAAAGTGCAGGAGCTTCGTGAGGTCTAAATTTGTTTCCAAAACATAAGCCCTCTTCTTTTGTCCATGGTATATGATCGTGGCTCAATTCCGAAGTGTAACCTTTAGATGATACTTGTTGGATAGCACACTCGCATGGTGGGACATTCCTTGGTGGTCTAGGAGGTGGACGTTCAATAATTCTGGCAGGTCGACGTACAATCTCGTCCTTAATTCCAGAAATGAAATATTGCGTTTCACCTTTCGGATTTGTAATACCGTTTATCATCAGCTTGGAAGTGAGAACATCTTCAGAAGCTATGACTTCTAATAAATTAATCGTTGATTCTGGAGGCGTCGGTGCAGGTGAATGCATCGCCATTGATCCTATAATACATCTATCATAAAAAAAGAGTAAGAAGTATGTATTTGAAACAGAAGTACGTACTATTTTATTTGATTACTCTTATTACTTGTTCTTTTTGCTATCTTCAGCTATCGTGTCTATCACAAAGTAGGGTGTTCTTGTTCCCTTCGCCTTTAAATATGACTTTCTACTTTGCCTGCAGGAGCAACAGTTGTCGCACTTGGGTCCTGGGAACACTACTTTCGTTATAGCTTCTATGCTTTTTATCAATTTGTTCGCTTCTCTTTCCACTTTTCGAAATTCTTCATCCGTATTTTGTAACCACTCCTGCCACTTGGGAGACAGATTCTTTCTACCGCTTGGATAAATCTTGTTTGGCCCATCTCCAAGTTTAAGTATGGCAAAGAATTTCTCGTTACTGTTAGTCGGTGTTACATTTGCAACGCCAGTCATTTCGTATGTTATGGGGCACGATGGTGGATTGTCAGCAGCTCCAGAAATAATATAATGAGCGTGTTTTTCGTCAAGCCAGGATTTTGTATGCGGTTTAGGGGGTTGTAAAACTCCTGCAATACACATGTACATTCAGACGAATATTGATAACAATTGTATTAAAATAATTACCACATATTTTATACTCCACTGGTCCTCGTTTTTCACTAACTCCATTGATCGTGAAATCAAACACTTTGCTTCCATTAGGTAACTGTGGAACATCAAAAGAAAGCTTTTCTTTGTTCGTTACATTAAGTGTATTTATCTCCTGTTCTGCATTTTCATTTCTCTCATCTAATGTATAGGCAAATATTTAATATCATATTAAAAGTTGAATAGAATTTTTGAGTAACAGTATTGTACAATGCAATACTGTCACTTTAAAGTACCTATGCTGTGTTTCCTAATGATATTTTCTTTTTGTTGTTTTTTGACAGTATTTTCTAGATTGACTGAAGCAGAACTTTTTCTTCTTGTATTAGAAAGTATCTTCCTTTTTCCTTCTTCTTTTGTAGAAATATACTGATTATGTTTCTCTGGAGTACTCAAACGTTTTTTAGTATGATATGGCTTACTATCAATGAAATTTTCTTGGCTTACTCTTTTTCTATGATCACTACTTTTTTCATCCACGCGGTTCATTTTTATATTTCCGGTTGTAATTAAAACGCATTCCTTAGGTGGTAATATCACTTTTGGTATTGGCAATACTTGATTGTGTGCTCTCCAACTTTGAAGAAGATTGTAATAAGAAGCCCAATCTGGGCGTACAAAGAGTTCTTCTTTATAAGGTGATGCTTTCTTTTGTCTTATTGGCAGAGTGGGTGGCAAAGCTGTATGATAAATAATTAATTCCGCTCAGTCATTTATCAATGCATTAAATGCTAAAGATCTTACGTTTATGAGGAATCTCTGGCATTGTTACAGAAGGTAATCTTTCATGTAATTCCAGTATAGCTTCTGGTAAAGTTAAAAATGCAATAGCTGATAAGATGATCCTTTCGTTGCAGTCGTAAAATTGTTCTGAAATTGTGAAAATACTGTAGAAAATAATTTTTAATAAATAATCAAATGTGAAACAATAAAGTAACAAACTGTGTCCTTCTTCTTCGAAATAATTTCCTGTTAATACCTTATAGGTTTCCCTTAAAAACTCAATAGCATTACACTTAGAAATCTCCTGTAACTTCTTAATAACATTTGGTGTGAGTATAAAAAATGTAGATATCACACCAATTCCTGTAAGTGTCCTTTCTGTACGTCCTGACACCCTTTCTTCACAATCCCTTTGTATTACACACTGCAACATCATTAAGTTCTTCATCTAGCAAATTCAAATAATCTTTTAGTTTATTAATAATTCAAGCTTTAGTAGTTACTAAACAAAGTAAGCTATACCTGATCAATAGAAAAATCTTGGTACCATCGAGGATGCCTACTCATTTCCATCTTCATGAAAAGATTAACTAAAAGAAGGAAATAACAGATATGTTGAACTATTTTATTAGTAAAATTAAAATGATTATTAGTCGAATATGTATGCTCACCTCTTTTTTTTCCAATTTGAATATTTTTATTCATTTCTTCATTGTGAATTTTTTGCTTCTGTTTCCATAATGCATCCTTTGCCATTGCAATTTCATCTTCTAGATACCAGTACATCGGTCCTCGTTTAACTCTATTATTTCGTTTATCGCGTAAATCGATGTACGAAGATCCAGCGCGAATACGTAATTGTGAATTGCGTGAGTTGTTTAATGCAGGTAACTTATTTACACTTTGTTTTCCATATAATTTACGTTTGTAGTCTGTAACGTCTACAAGCTTATTCTTGGTAGACTGTTTTGCCTGTCTAGAATCTATACAACTGCTAAATTGAGTCAGAAATTTTAAAACTGGACTTCCATTTATTGGATTCATGGGTACGAATGGAGATTTATGAAGGAACTTTTCTTTATTATTATATTTCATCAAGGGATCAGGATTGTTGGATGAACAACAGAAATTATAAGGCTTTAAGATCTTAGCATCTTCCCCTTTGTACCTTTTTTCAATTAAAGACAATGTAATTATGATGAAATTACATTTACAGAATGCTTCATATTTACCTTTCCCCTTTGGACCTGAATTTTGTGGTGGACATGTTTGGTTTCAACAGGAAAATATTTTTGATAAATGAGATAAAGTATTCATCTATTGCAATCCATTTTATTTGTTTGGCTATTGTACTTGTAAATTTAAAAAGTATGTAAAGGTTGTTAAAGTTACAGTTACTATTGTGTAATGAATGTGTCTGCAAATATATGTACTGCCTGAATTGTAACATTTGTAATTAATATTTATATAATATTTACAAATATAAAGTCATTAACATAAGGGTTTACATTACAATAATTAATATCTAATCAATTAAAGATAAACATCAGAAGAAATGCTACGTTTCATACAATATAAAAAAAATTTGTGAAATAATGACTGAAAACATTTCTCATTCATCATTACAATGCAAATTTACGCGCCAAAAGTACACGATGGCGCCATCTACGGCAAAACGTCCAAGCTAGTCGCCAAATGGTACCATTTTTTCGCCGTTAGATGGAGGCACGTGTCGATGCCAACATTACCACGCGAGTCATTAGATACAATAATTATTACTGGAAAATCTTTTAATTAACATTCCTTACAGCATAAAAGCGGCACCAATAATTTTAATAAATAGAATAATATTATAGCTAGCTATAAAGAATACACTATGAGTTCAAATACGTTTTTTATTCGCGTGAAAGTTACACTGATTGTAACTAGTCACAATAAAACACATTGATATTTGCACATAATAACAATCACTAGTTCTTACCTAACTATATTGAAGTAATTGGCACTATTAATCAATCTAATAACGTAAAAACTAGTATTTGATTCCGTTCCATATTTGTCCATCTATGACGCAGTGGGGTAGTTTAGTTCCACTGTTCTACCGCTAGATGTCTATAGCATTTGTGTGTCCATAAATCAAGTATTTTTTAAATTTTACAAAGCACGGAAATTATGAGAATATATTGGACGCATTCAATGCACAAGCTCATTGCAAACAATTTGAGATCAATTACGTTCATTTTGAGCCCCTAATTTTCCAGATTTTCCCATTTTTCTATTTTTTTAGTTCTATTGTTCTATCGCTAGATGTCTATAGCATTTGTGTGTCCGTGAAACGAATATTTTCTTAATTTTCAGAAAACAATAATTACACGATTATATCACATGTAATCGGTACACAGGTTCATAAACAACAATTTGAGGCCAATTACGTTGATTCTGAAACCTCTAATTTTCCAGATTGTCTCGTATTTTATTTTTCTGTTCATGTTTCGTCGCTACGCGACGATGCACAGAACTTTTCGCGCCTTATTAAATTTGTTTTTTATTTGATTTATGTAATTATTTATGTAATCGACGCTCTGATGAAATATTTTGCTGAGTATTGTTGAATTAGTATTAAAAGACTCTTTTCCACTCGCGGGTTACATTTTTTGTAGCAAATCTTTTTCATTTACTGTCTTGTGGTACACTTCCCATATCAACAATTGTTTTGTAGTTGAGAAGAATGTTTCATCAATTGAGAAATATTTAATTGTAAAATTAAAATATTGTAGAATTGTTGACCTGCATAGATATGGAGGGTTTTAGTTAATAATTGGTCAATAATGAGGATTGAATTTATTAACAATTGAACCGGATGATGTCCGATTACAGAATCCATGTGCTCGTAGTACTATGGTTTGTCGTTAATTAATTAATTCTAAGTTACGTATGTACCGCACACCTTTGGGAAATCACTGTGATATAATATATAAATATAGTAATTTTTCATAAATAAAAAAATAACGTTTTATCTAGGTGGCGCTGAGATGATACTTCAATGAGGCGTCAGCGGCGTACCATCGTGCATGCATTAACTTCTTAAAGGCTATGCCTAATGTCGTTTAGTTGCCGCTATTTTGAAGTATTGTATGACCTTCTGGAAAAAAGTAGAAAGTTGTAGCCAATAATTGTAATACTATACAACTGGAAGGACGGTTTTGTAGTTCTTAGTAAGTCGGATAAGGTTTTGTTACACACGCTTCACCTTAGATAGTTATCTTCACTGAATGTGAATGATGCCGCCGAAATGGTACTATGTTTAATTTTTGTACAGGCTCCATTATTTCGTGTTTTATTACAATTTGTACATTATTCATTTATGTATCACGTAGTTCAGTAGACTTTAGAGGATTCGTGTAACTCATAACAACGACTAACAAATTTTTAACAACTGCAAACAATTATTGTGTTAATTAACTGTTAACTGTTTTTTCAATAAGGTACAAAATGGTCCGCGGTGGCAGAGGTGGTATGATCAGAGGAGGACGCGGTGGAATGGGTCGTGGAATGGGATTTCCAAGGAAGCAGTTCCTTCCTCGACTTCCATTCGATTATACCTTGTGTGAAGCTGCTTTCCCGCGTGTTAAAACAGCACCAGACGAATCAGACTTCCAAATGGCACTACTAAAAAAGAATTCTGACATGTGTCCTACACCAAAGGAACAAACATCTATTTTAAATCTTGTTACTAAGTTACAGAGTGTACTTGATAATTTAATTGTTGCTCCTGGCAGCTTTGAAGCTTGTGTAAGTGTCTTATAGTTACCAGAAGTTTCATGAAACATAAATTTTAACTAAGGTATTGGTTTGTTCTTATAGCAACTGGAAGAAGTAAGGCAAGTTGGCAGTTTCAAAAAGGGAACAATGATTAAAGGCCACAATGTAGCTGACATTGTAGTGATTCTGAAGACATTGCCCACTAAAACAGCAGTAGAGGCACTGGGTACAAAAGTAAACAATGACCTGAAGGCTGTTAATCCAAAGGAAATGTTCAGACTTACCCAAACAGAGCGCGGTTTCGATATTGGTAACAATGAAGCAACCGTGCGTGTATTGATCACTACATTACACCAAAATCTACGAAAATTGGAGTCAGATCAGCATCTAGATGTTAAAATATGCCAAGGCCATCTTGCAGCGATAAGACATTCCCGTTGGTTCGAAGAAAATGCACACCATTCCAGTATAAAAGTTTTAATCAGATTACTCAGAGATCTAAGAAGTAGATTCGAGGGTCTAGAGCCATTATCACCTTGGATGTTAGACTTACTGGCGCATAATGCAATTATGAACAATCCTAGCAGACAAGCACTGCCGATAAATCAAGCATACAAGAGAGTACTTCAGTTACTTGCTTCTGGACTGTTTCTTCCAGGATCTGCTGGTGAGATTCATTATTCTTTCATGGTATTTTTACATAAAATATAGATCATATATTTTATATAACATATCAACTTATTTAGGTATCTCCGATCCATGCGAAGGTGGTAACATTCGCGTGCACACAGCCATGACATTGGAGCAACAAGACTTGGTGTGTCTCACCGCTCAAACGTTGTTGCGTGTACTGGCTCACGGCGGCTACAGACCCTTACTCGAGGGCACTAACAAACTCGCCGTAGAAATGAGTGTGTGGGCGGGTGGTGTAGTCGCCAGTCCTCTGGACAAGGCGTACGAGCCGCCCACAGAACAAGAACAGCAGGAAGATATGGACGAAAGTAACGAAGAAATGATAACAGAGAGTGCTTAACTTATAATTTAATATATAGTTGTATTAATATCATGAACAGCCCTGTTGCAACAGAGACAAGTATTTCGCACTATTTTCTACGACGACAATTTATTCATAAACTCTTTCTTATCCAATACAAAAGATAATGTATTTCGTATTGCGTATGAGTCTTACCAATGTATGAATTTCCTGTCAACGGTAATGCAATTAGTGCCGATATGTGTTTACTTCATGTAATTGTGTGTACACGTGACGTTCAGAGGCCTGCGAGCGGCAGCCTCGTCGAACTTTATATCTGGAATAAAAGCCAAATTATATCTACACTTAGAATCGATCCACGCACGGTAACTGATTAAGATCTCCTTCGATTTTCTAGTATTCCATCGTTATCCAAGAAAACGAGTAACAAAGTATCAAGCAGCATCGGATCATGCTCGGCAGTGCTGGACATAGTAACAAGAACGTAACGTTCGTTGCGACGCTTTGCGAGCCTATCGCGAGCAAGGATCATTTTCCGGTGTTCTACTGACCCGAGCGCAGTTCACGGATCTGCTGTTGCTACCCGATCGGACCGGTACCTTGAACAGTTTCCCTTGAGGCATACAAATGCAGACCTTGTACTGCTCGTGGCCCGAGTTCTGCAGGAACAAGGGCGCGACGGGAATATTCTCAACGTTTATGGAGACACCGTCAGCGGTGTCGAGCACGATGCTGCCGTTCACGCTTTTCAAGAAAATATCGGTGTCCGCGCTCCAGACGATGTCCTTGCTCTCCATGGTCACCCCCTCTGCGCCGTGTATGGAGATCTGTTCGTCGGAATTCACCGTCAGACTCTCGTTGACCGGCGACGTGATCCTGTGAGTCTCTGCGATCTTGACGTCGATCTTCTCCACGCCCGCTGGTAGACCGAAGTTAGGAAAGTCGGTGGTGAAGTAGATGGTGCCGGTTCTAGGGTCCTTGATCTCGAAGGACTCGATCTGAGACCAGGCTGTACCGTTCTGCAGAATGGTCACCCTCGAGCTAGCTTGCTCGTGGGCTCGAATGTCGTTCACCATGATTTGTACACCGCCCTCGTCGCCGGACACTTCCATGGGCTCGTCCCCGTAGCTCTGGCAGATCTCTGACTGCAGGCATACCTGAACAAGTACTCAACGTCAATTCCATTCTCTGCAACGTCGTTCCATCTAGTTGTTACCAACTGACATTGTCCAAGTCAGTTCTCCCGTAGAACTTGACCAGGTTCTCATCGGGTATCACTTCCATAGCTTCCATCCCCTGGCTGATCCGCAGGACCGCGATCACCGTGATGTTCAGGAAGAGGTTGCAGAGGCCGATGATTGCCAGAACCAGCGTCAACGTCCACAGACAGTATCGTCGTTTCGTTGGCTTCTCGTTGGACGTGGACATCCCGTGGGAGGAGACGGTGGTCCGGTTAACGTTCTCCGAGCTGAAAGCAGACGTTTAAGGGTCAGCCTTATATTGGCCACGTGCCAGCAAATTTACAGTGCAAACTATGAGCAAACTATCAGAACTATGATTGAGTTGTTATTGTTAGTATCTATTCATTTATGAATGTCAGCTCATTAGGTAGCACCATTGTTTTCAAATAATTATTATTGAATTGAGTGAACTATAGTAATTCGATAGGTAGTATCATTGTTTCAAATAATCATTTAATTGAGTGAACTATAGTAATTCGATAGGTAGCATCATTGTTTCAAAATAATCATTATTTAATTGAGTGAACCATAGTAATTCGATTTGGTTGGGGTCACCGGTTAAGTAATTCCCGATGAACAGACATTCGGACGAACAAAATAGAACTTTCACCTCGCACGTGCGCTGTTGCAGTTGTTCTGCTGGATGTAGCCTTTGATCAGGGGCCCATCGCTGTTCGACAGGTTGTCCTCTGCCTTCGATATCGAGCCAGTGTCATTCCCACATGCGTCCAGGATGGCGGACATCAAATCACTGTACTACAATAACAGTTAGTGTATAGAGTATCGGATATCTTCATGCATTCGTGTCAGAAAAAACAGAATTGTAGATAATTATTCATTAGTTCTCATTCCATAATGAGTCCTGTCGCGAGGACGGATTAGCTCGAGGCACGAGTGTATATTTTAGGAAACTGACAGCCCAAACTGTGCAGGCAACGTTCAGTCGCGGATTCTCCGTTGAAATCCTTACCTCGGCCGCGAACGCTGCCGTACACTGGTGGAAAACGAAAATAGAGTGGCGATAGTTCGGTTTCGAACGAACACAACGGGCCGTGTAACGAAAACTAGGTGAAATCCGCCGGCCGGCGCTTGCGCGTCCTGGGATCGATGCTCCGGCTTCCGAGCGACAGCTTATCCGAATTTTTTTGCAGATTCCTCAAGTGGATTCCTCGAGAACGAGAAATCATATCAAATTTATATTATACTTTGTGCTTTGAACATAGATACTCGACGTTTCAATGCTGAGGTTCAAGGGACTTAATTATCTTTGGGATTAACGCAGAAGCAACAAGTCAAGTGTTATAAAAATGATAGAAAGAAGACGTTTATTCCATTCGCATAACACCAGTCTGGTAACAGGTCGAGACAAGTCTGGGAAGACTACTAATTTTGTTCTGTATTGGTTCACGCTGTACTTCCTGGCCAAACTACACCCTCTATCCACGACAGGTAATTGGAAACCCGGGTGTACACGCCGGGAATGATGCTGCCGCAGATTCCTCCGAAGCTTGTTACCCCGATTATGCTGTACATGCAGTTGTAGTCCTGGTTCAGGATCATCAGTGGCCCTCCGCTGTCACCCTGCAAAGAAGCGAGGTAAGTCTTTGGACATTAGATCACCGCTGTAAAAGCTGTAGAATGTCCTTACGTGACACGTGTCTTTTCCAGGTTCGCCGGCACACAGCTGCCACTCGCCTATGATGCCACGAGGGATCTTTGTGTCTTGTGTGAAGCTCCGGTTGCAGGTCGCGTATGGTATCGTGTTGATGGTGACCTTCAGCAGGTCACTGGAGCCAGTCTCGTCCTCTGAGAAGGGAGGGAATTGGGTGTTCAAGATGAACAGTGTATTTTCTATTAGATTCTATTTGTTCCTTATACTTAGTTAATGAAGAGAATCTATTTCTTCCTTATACTTAGTTAATATAGAGACTCTATTTGTTCCTTACACTATCTATATTTTCAGTGGCAATACCTACCCCAATCAATCAAGCCCCAACCAGCTGCAATCGCCAAGTTCACATTACCGGTGTCCGGCAGGGAGTACGCTAGGCAGCCAGGTCTCACCCAAGCGTTGAAGGTCACTTCCCTTTCCAATCTCAACAGCCCAATGTCGTGATACTCGGCGGGACGTTTGTACTGGGGATGCCTGATCCTCTCGGTGACTTTGACCTGCTGCGGTTTCGCGTCGTCGTCGCTCCTCTCCAGGTTCAAGTCTCCCACCCGCACCCAGGAGGCGGCTCCCCTGTTAAATTTTTATAAATTAAACCAGAGGTACCAAGAAACCTTACGCATATGTTAAGCCAAGCAACCTTCGTTTTCAAACTGGAAAGCTCTAATTATTTTTCAGGTACTTGGCTGCAGTAGCTGAAGAGTTGCTTATCACTTAACGCGTTGAATGTCGCATTATTTCATAGAGCAAACTATGATTGAGTTGTTATTATTAGTATCTATTCATTCAGCTGAATGTCAGCCCATTAGGTAGCACCATTGTTTTCAAATAATCATTATTGAATTGAGTGAACTCTAGTAATTCGATTCGGTTGGGTTCACCGGTGAGCCCCATGGCATTCAACGCGTTGAGCAATGAATTCTACACATGAATACAACTGTGGACACGTGCCAGTTGACATTGGACAGACAGTGAGCCGCGGTGAGCACAAACTTCTCGGATATCAAGCTGCCGCCGCAGGACCAAACGACGTCGCCGCCACTGTTGTACCCGACCGCCGCCATGTGCGGGAACTCCTTGGGATCAGCCTTCTTGCCTCCGACGATCAGCTTGCGCGACTTGATCGCGCACACCGACACGTTCACCGGCTGCGCGTCCACCGCCAGAATAGGCGGGTACACTAGCTGGTACACCGATCTCGCGTACTCCTCGCATTCTGGAACGCAAACGGAACATGCAACGATGAATATCCGCGCGAACCACCGTTGCAGATTAGTCGTTCGAGACTCATAATTCTCTGTGCGATAGCTCACTCGCTCTAGCCACGGATCCCTCGCGATTCGCGATTAGGGGTCCAGGACCGGTCTGCTCGGTGGATGTCGGTGGCCTCCGGGTGGTCGTCGTCGTAGGTCGTTGACCCGTCGGACAACAGACCAGCGCGTCGAAACCCACGTACCCGCACACCTTGGTTGGAGGGTTGCCTTGTAACAATTGCTGGTACACCGGCGGACATTGCTGCAGAATCTTGCACGTGCCCGGCGCATCGTCTACGACGCACGAGTCGCCTGGGAATAAAAATAGAGTCGTCATTTTCATGAATAATTATGATAAGTAATACAATGGTCCATGATACTCAGAGTATTTATAGTTTAGCAAAGACTCGTTGGATTCTATCTAGACATGGAAAATCCAGGTCGTTACCTTCGAACTCTTGACCACTGGACGTGGAAATCAGCAGCAACGTCAACGTTACCGACGACAACAACGACGACGGCATCGTTCGAGAAGCTTCCTCGGTATCAGCACTCTTTGACCGGTTGATTGCCACTGCTCCGCGGCTTCTTCGATCAGAAACTTTTGTATGCCCCACCACCGCTCCGCGTGGGTCCGCGAGGAGAGCGGGAGAAGGAAACCGCAGGCGCAGGGAAGAACCTGGTTTTTTTTAACGCGTGCTACGAACAGGTTTGGATACTGGGAACAGGTCTGACGAAGACAAAGAGAGTGCGTTTAGCCTCATATATTTGCATCGTTTTATTTTTTCTTTAGATTTATGTTAGGCTTGTCATTACCTTCGTGAGTGCATGATCATCGAATGGAACGAAATGAATGCATATAAATTTTTTATTTAGCTCCGACTAAATAAAAGGATGGAGTTATGCCTCGAGGGAACGAGGGGTTGATTCATTCCAAGCATGTAAATTGCTCGAGGAAGGAAAATAGTTGCCCTGCGTGATTCACGTACACCAGAGATATCTCAATGGAGCGAATGACGTACGTTTGAACAAACGCCAAGCATACCATTAATTTGTATTTGCTGATTCATGTTGCAAACGTGATTCCCGTGTTTCCTTGTAGCTGCATTTTCGCGCCTTGGGTATGCAACCGGCTGTACGCGCGTGCGCTTCGGTGTGCCTAGGTACTCAGGCGTTAATGATACAAGGTACATTATTTTCAGCTACAGTGAATCGTATAAATTGTAACAATTTAACCAGGCGTTCGCCTTTAACCCTCAGAGATTGAATTTAGGTTTAAGGTTCGCTCGACGAAGGTATAGGAAGGTATAGGAACGAATAAAGTGTACAACCAGGTGGTTTAACACATCCCACCTAAAAATATTTTATTGCTAATTAGTCTGTTCAATAACATGTTTGTATATTTACAAATTAATTACCCGAATAATGCGTACTGTATATGAGCATCTTACGTTATCCGATAAAAATGTAGACGCGTTCCGCTTTGTACAACAATGAATACCCGCAGTCGTATCGATTATCAAATTTAAAAAGACAAAAGAAAAAAAGGAAAACAAAAAGAGAGAAAGAGAGAGAGAGAGACAGAGAGGGAGGGAGAGAGAAAGAAAATAAAGGAGATAATAGTAACAGCAATTAATAATCGATGGATATCGATAAAAAATATGAATAGTAACAATAAACACGCGGCACTTAGAGGCTAATGTCGGGCATCGAGCGCTAGGAATAAAAAGAGCATTCTCAACCTAGGAATACTACCAATATACAAAAAGAAAACGCTATTCACAGGGGCTGGGAGGGAGCGAGGGAGGGAGGGGCGAATTAAAACCGACGCGACACGAAGGAAAATTACACCGCACGGATATGTATCGAGCAAAAGATTAACGGCGGCTGGCGGGGGGTTGGCGGGGGGATGTACGGTTCTTGCAAAGCCTAAAACGCACTTTCACGAGTAAACTCAACGCCGGACCTGCCGCGGCAGAGAAGAGTTTCGTATAAAACCATCTGTCGCTTCGTTCCCTAGTGAAAACGAGAAATAACTAGGCAAGGAAGACGTTTCTTCTTCTTCTTCTTCTTCTTCTTCTTCTTTTCTTTCCCTCGTTATAAGCTACGGTCGCGCGTTCTCGCGACTGTGCGACATATACAAAAGAACAGAGGTTCGGCTAAACAATAAAGGTTTCTCGACCACGAACGTATCATCATCATCATCGTCATCATCATCATCATCATCATCATCATCATAGGAACATCGACGCACCGGCGACCGCAGCGATAACCGAACCGTTCAACTCGTCTGCGAGTTTTAACGAAACTCAATCCCACAACTTATAATGATACTATGTACAGACCGTGTACCTGCGTTAAGTTATCAGTCTTGCGGCTCTCAAGAGGAAATTGTATAACTGAAGGTGAACGACGCTGCGCGACACGGTGAAGAACGGGGACCCACGAATGTAAAAAAACAGACAAATGGCTCCTCTTCGTGGGCCCGTGCGAATCTCTTCTTTGGGTTGCGCGCGTTTTCGAATAGTCTCTGGCTGTGCTCGCGGCATTTGCGACATTGTATAAACCAGTGTAAAAAACTCTATGCATCTATAACGTTACAATATCTTGAGTATTTCGAGTATCTTCCAGAACTGATCTGAACAGAATAATAATCTAGGAGCTGGCTCTTGAACACAACACTGGTCTCGCTGTTAGCCTAATGAATACCGGACCCCGAGCATGGGTCCGTTGGGTCCACCGTGTCTCGCCGTACCGTTGCAATGCGTATGCTTGTCTCTGTTTTGTTAGTACATTGATCAATCTCGAGGCGATAGGAACACTAATTCGAGCTTGTTTAACTAAATCACGGACACCCGGCTTCGCTGACGCACCTAACGTCTCGGACGATCGTCGGAAGAGACCCGGGGACTTTTCGATTCGCGGTCTCGCTTGGAACGCGTCGTCTCTTCCGACGGTTGTGCTGGTTGCAATGTGTTTGTTACGTAGTCGGCGTCGCTTCTCGTTTACAATAGCATGGATCGCGCGAACGGCACGAACACACCGTTTAGTTTCTGTACGCGAGACGAGGTTAAGCCGTGTTCCCACCGGAGACGCAATGAGCTCCGGCCAGCGTTCGCGGAGCTTCCTCCCATTCCGCGTTCGTTACTATAGTACAGGAACATCGAGCGGCATTTCAACAGATTCATACAAACGCGATCGACAAACGCACTACGACACTAAATACAATCGATTGCAAATAAATAACTTATCCGAGCATATACACATTCATCTCCCTCCCGAGCGGAACACGGGTTGGCTGGGAAGGGGGCCTCTTTCAACAATGACTGACTATAATCTGTATGCCTCTATAAACGAATCATTCGGGGGAGCGGATAAAAAATTGTAAAAAAATTTTCAGGCGACTCGCGTTTCTCGTTTCACGCATACACGTATATGTACACACACCGTGGACGAAGACAATTATCTCTACAAGATTCTCTATCGGAGGCACGACTTATCGAGAGGCACTTTGCAACGTCGCTCGGGTGGGAACACGGCTTAAGGCTGCTCGAAATTTACACCGAGGAAACGAGTAAGACACTCTAGGGTCGCCACCTTTCCCGGTTTCTGTACAAACGACGCTCGTTCTCGTCGGCGATCAATTATCTGCTCCGCAAGATCCGACGCGGAAAGGTGGCAACCCTGCACGAGGCACTCTCTAACGACGCGCGCTCGTCTCGGCTACGATCGACTGATTTCCGCTTTGCCTGTAACTATTTTAATATATACATATATATAATTATCGCGCTCTATACGGGGTGTCCTCGAATTCAATCTCACGTCCGTTAATTACTCGTAGTTTCAACATGAAATCACTCAGTTCTCGACTTGTATCGCCAATTAGATTTTCACAGACACTCAGAGATATACATATATTATATTTGTATATGTATATATGTATATATGTTTATAGAGAGAAAGAGAGAGAGAGAGAGAGAGAGAGTGTGTGTGTGAGAGATGGATAGATAGATAGAGACAGAGATAGAGAGAAAGAGAGAAAGAGAGAAAGAAAAGTTCTATTGTTTCGTACGTGTTATCAGGAGAATCATTGTTTCGTGTTTCGAATGATCGCTGTCGTTCAACGTTCAACGTGCCGCGGTGAACGGCACCGATCATCGGACGATCGTGTGTACGCGATATATACCCGTTGTGGATCGACAAATCGTTTCGTTCGTTCCGTTTTCCTTAATACGCTTAGTCGTTCGAGATATTCTTCCGTGGTTCAATTAGCGGCGGTCGATTCTATGCGTGCGCGATACGTCTGGAATGAATCGAGTACAAGGTACAGCGGAAACAAATGAGGGAGCTGATCCTGGAAACTCGGAAAGTGATCGCAACGTCAGGGGGTGAGGGGATTGGCAATAGCCGGGAGACGAATCTCAACGGTAAGTGGATTAGTCTTGTTCGCAGTTCACATTCTAACGAGTATTAAATATCATATCTATATATACATAACGCTGTTCAAATAAAAAAGAAAACAAACAAACAAACAAAATTTATCAAGAATTTAAAAAAGAATTTCTTGTCACACCTGGTACACACTGGCAGCTTTTCTCTGGAGATCCGTTTACAAAAGAGAAACATATTGTACACGTGTACTTCTATGCGTGTGTATATTGTGTATACGCAAACAAACGAGTATGCAGTTGTATACAAAGTTAAGTACTAATCAATCGGATGGTCGGTGAATCATTGAACGGGCAGATCCGCTAAGATCCGAGATTATTGTCTATAGTCTGTGAAAGGGGAATCGGTGGAGAATCGGTGGAAAATCGGGGAACCGTCTGCTACTGTCTTCCTAACGAATGCCTGGCGACCACGCGACCCCCCAGGGAGCCGTCGCTTCGAGTTCCGAGTAAGAGTTTCAACGCGAGGCTTAAGTACTTGCGAGAGTACCGGAACGCGGGTTGAGAACCGCTGGCCAGCGACACGCCCCGAAGGCATCACGTGACGGCTCCGGACCGCCCAACGGCGAGTGAGATTTACAGCGACGTTCAAGGAGAAGCGTGCGCGTACGGCGCGAGGCGCGATGATCCAGAGGTTCCGCGGGACAAGATAAAACTCTAAAAACGTTAACAACGCCAACAAGTGTACACCGAGCCCTCTTCGTAGGCCGTGAGCAGGCCGTCGTGTACCGATCTAGAGCAGCAAGTCACCAGAGTCGATCGAGGAGCGTTGATCGCGCGAGGATCGACGTCAGAGGATAAAACGCTTCGCACTGTTTACAACGAGAATGATTGCTGGCAGAGGAGAAGAAACTACGTTCCACCGACGATGCGTTGAAAATTGAAAACCTGTTCCAATACCCGGTCAACCGGGGTTCGAGAGTTACAAGGCCCTGTGCTAACGAGAAAATCCATCGCGAAGCTGTCACCGTCTACGGATCACATGTCTAGAATCGTCAAGCGTCCCAGCAATCTCTCTAACCTCTCTTTCTCCCAGTATCCGCGTTCTCGGTGGCGCCGAGCCACTTTTGCGAACGACGCGTACAACGAACGCGTGCCCTATGGTGTTCCTCGTACGAACCAGTCGTACATTCACGCGCGGAGAGCGTGCATTCCGCGGTGCGACGATAACAGGCGACAGAGCTCGCTTTTCGCGCCTCTTCTTGGAAACAATAGAGAAGAAAGCAAAAGAGAGTCGCAGACCGGAGTCCGTTGTCCGTCGTACGGCCGCTGTATACCGAATGTTCGCACAGGCGGCTGCGGGAATCCCCCGGGAAAGAAAATACAAAAATATCTAGCAGCCCGTGCGAACGTTCCGCGTCCGGTGGATTCTTGAAACGAATTCGTTCCGAGCGAGGCGTAGACTGAATATTCGTCAGTTTCATAGTCAGCCTATTATTATATATGTACATATATCGTGTAACGCTCACTCGTCCCCGAACGAATCCTTTCGATCGCTTCTCACGGATATGGGAGCACGCTGTCCTGATGTCTCTCCGTTCCGGTTTAAGACTGCTTCTCGCGGAACGGACACGAAAGTTTCACCGTGCGCCATAAGTTCTCGGTTCTCCCTAAGGGATGACTCGGTAATCTCGTTAGAATTTCCCGTCACGAGCTCATCGTAAACAACAACAACAAAGGAAAACGAATGTACAGTGAAGCTTTCGTGTGTTCGGTCCCAGTTAGACTGTTGCACGTGTCGGTGAATAAACCCTTGACCCACCCAGTAAGAGTCCCGATTAAAAAACAAATAATCCGTCCAAGTTGGTGTGCACAACGCTAATAGAGTGAAGCGCGAGACAGTGAGAGAAAGAGAGACAGACAGAGAGCAAAGGCAGAGAAAGAGAGAGAGAGAGATAGAATTGAAAAGATAGGGAGAGAGAGAGAGACAGAGAGAATGAATGGACGAGACCAGCGAGAGTTCGGTCAACCCGAAGATGGAGTCATCTTGACGGAACACGTCCTCGGCTTAGCCAGCCAAGTTTCCAGGATAGAGGAGTGCGAGTAGGAAGAAGACGACAATCGAGAAGAAGCGACGCGGCGGTGGTGTCACCGTGTTGCGGCCAGTCGCTCGCTCTCGGGAGAAGATGATCTTCGGCGATCGTGCCGATCGCACGGCCGTTCCAAGGTGTTGCCACTGTCGCCCAGCTGCGCCGGTGGATCCGTGTGTGTACAGTTAATCCGCACGTTGCTATCTGGAACGAGAGAGGCGTGTGAGGACCATTGTGGTTTTCCCGGCGATGATTCGTCGACTCGGCCGGGTCGGACCGGGTCGAGCCGAGCGACGCGAAGGACGGTCCAATCGGTGTTTAATGGCCGCCGCTTGACCTCGCTCCCTCGCTCGCGTACGTTCGTCCTTGCCGTTTATTCGCGGCGCGCGTTAATGGGACTAATTTTATCAACTTTTTCAACTGGTCCAAGGTGAACGGTTCAATAGTTTCGGGCTCTGCGGATTTAGACGGAAAGTGAACGGTTCCTCTTGGTGTGCTCGATGTCACTGGTAATATCGATGATAATGTTAACACCGGTGACCCCCAACCAGCTCGAGTTACTATAGTTCGTTTCAATTAACACGTTAAGCGCCACGAAAATCTTAACCGTTTTCCCATAGAGTTTATCTTTCGTAGCGAAGAAAAGTAGGTATAATTATGAATTGTTTGGCGTTCAACGCGTTAACGATAACATCAATGAGAAATCCATCGAAGGCTCGTCCTGAATGAAAGCCGGATCAAAGGAGACCCGGTCACCGGAGCCGACGACCGAGTTTCCATTCGGTCCATTAGATTCCGCGCAAGGGTCGACGGACTTATCAGTGACGCAACCTTATCGTGTTACGGGATTTACGGGCTTGCGATCCACGGTCCAGCCGTTCTCGATCGACGCGTAACAGATCCGTATCGTTGAACGCGTTCCTCGTAATTCGATTAAAAACGGCCGATCGAGCCGGAGAGGAGTCGCTCGACGGGAAATCGAAGGTCCGAGGTATCGAGGCTCGCCGCGCGCGGAGATAAAAGGCTGCGCCGCTTCTTCGGTACCCGCCGGGATTACCCGGTCCCTGCCCACACGTCTAGACGTCTTAAAGTTTTTACATTGCTCCCGAGGCGTGGTATGTCACGGCTGTAACGCGGCGACGCGCGGTATATACGATCCTGCGCCGGCATTTTTCGCAACCACGCCTCGACCGGTAGGTACCGGGCTGCTCGCGAGACCGTTGCGCACTGTCCACGGACGAGATCTTTTCGCATCTCGGACACCAACTGACCGGGCAAGTGCGCCGGGAGGAGCACGGTTTCAAGAAGTCGGGGAATCTGTGGAACGACAACGAGTTAGACAGTTGAAAGCGGCGACGCGCGCGATAAGGGAAATATCAATATTAGCTACTTTCGTCAAGTATCTTTCTCGGAACATCTGATCCAGTTCGACGGAGCTGAATGTCTCTGGATAATAGAATTCGATTGGAATTCGTCAATCAACTAAAATCTAGGCTAAACCAGAACACTAGAATTACCTAGCTTCCAGCTTTTCGCGTAGAAATGGCATCGAGACTCTTTCTAATAATTCTATCGGAGTACCTTCTCCTCAACCCTTTGCTTGAGAATATTTGTGAGCCCTTGGAATGTTACCTTTAAGACGCTCGGACGATCCTCGTCTCCCAGCAACGAGAGAACAATCGAGTGATTCTCGAAGAGGTGCCGTTGCAAAGAAAAGATTATCTCGTTAATCGGGAGATCGTTACGCGAATAATCCCGGCGTCACCTGTTGCGGCTCTCGGAACAGGTGCACGCGCATTGGCGCCGGCGCGTAAGCCGATTTAACAATATCCCGGCAAGTAGGTTAACGCGCGTGACAGGGTCGTTCCGTCGGGCCGCTTTTTCGCTGTTTTCGCTGTTTTCGCCGTTTTCGCTCCGGCCGATCGGCGCGGTTTGTTTAGGCGGCGGCTCTCGCGGCCACGTGGGTTACGTATGAATCGGGAGGTGTATTTCCGATGCGTCGGGAGCTCCTCGCGAATTGTATAAGGTACACGTGCGGGGGAAACGCGTTCGCCGGGTCCGTTCGTTGGGTTTCTGGCAGTAGGCCAAGGATGGACGGCCGTTCGTTTCGTTCGACCATGAAAATCGCGAGCGGCCCGTGAGGGCGCGTGTCCGTTTCACCGTGAAACTGTTGCGAATCGATTTGTGGATCGTTACTTAACGCTTTGACTGCCAAGTAAACACTCGAAACAGTTCTCGTAATAAAGCGGAAACTGAAGAATCTTACTTCGCTATTGTGTTATACATCTAACAAAACTTAAAGTTTACGTGAAAAATACAAAGTGTTAAGACACGTTTAATGTTTATTAAACGAACACTTCAACACGCTGTTCGTTTGCAAAGAAATGCTCTCCAAAGTCGCGATAGTTCTACCGTCGATCTTGCGAACGAAACGAGCGTCGGTGTACTTCCGGCGAGTAATCTCGAATTATCGCTAGATCGCGAAGAGGATACTAGTGGCGCATTATTTATAGAACAATAACACCAACTTTATCAATGAAACGTTCGCGATTGATTGCTCGAGCCGTAAATAGGTTCCGTTTCCTGGAATAACGTTAACTCGATAAAGTCTATTATAATGAGCTTCAACCTCGTTTAATTGTACCTTCTAATGTCTATTCCGAGTGAGAAGCAAGTTAATAACTATTAAACCGATCTCGTTTCTCCAGGAAGAAGAATTTTAAGGAAGAACTTATTTAATCTGATATTCTCCGCGAAACGTTCCTTTCGAAATCCTTTAACTTCCTTTAGCTACCTCTTAGTGTCGCGATTTGAGGAACACCCAGTGCATCGAGGATCGAATCCACGTGACCTGGAAGAAGTTCGTTCGCACTCGGAGACTGGCGTCTCGTCGGTACGAATTTGTAACGTAAAGGTAGCTTCACAACCGCCGAAGCCGGTTCCTTTCGTTTTCCGCTGCAAACTTAGAATTCTGACGGACGGGGGAAAAAACGAATTCCGAGTCGACGTACTGCATTCCTATCGCGTTATCTCGCGCTCCCGGTACTTCGCGATTCCCTGTATCCCATAATCCCGGCGGGTATCCCGTTTCAAAGCCCGGTCGTATTGGTACAACGTCAACGTTCGAAAACAAACGATAACGATCGGTAACAAGTTGTCCGATAATCGAGGCGAGCGCCGCGTAATTATCGCGCACGCTGCAGACGCCACTGGCCAATTAACGAGTTATCTATCGCCTGTCCGAAGATTGATAATCGAACTTTCAATGCTAATAGCAATTACGATGCTGAATCAGCGGATCGTACTGTACGACACGATCTAATTGCTATTTGAGGACTTGTCCGAGGAATATTATTGAGTTGCTCTTTAGCGTTAGGAGTACCCAGCAGGCAAACCGACCGTTCCACGTTATCTTGTACGGATCGTAAGAGCCGTATCTCGGCTGGTAATCTACTGGCCTATATCTTCGCTCGTCGCCGAATCGGCGTGCTCGATAGTTTCTCGGATCGTCTGCATCTTTCGAGTAACTTTGGGAGAAGAAACTCCGAGTCTTTTTCATCCGTTGGATAGTTTAGGGTTAATATCGGATTACGAGTGACTGGGAAAGCCTATTACCGGACGGGAGATAAAGTGGCGAGCTTAAGTGTTTCCAGGTAAACAATCGAATACCTGTCGCACACAATGAGAATCGGATGGACGCTGGGCCCGGTTAACGGGTCAAGGAAGGAAACGTACGTCGACTGAAAATGTACGAGGACGAAAAGGAGAGGAGGAGGAGCGGGGGCCGAGAAGCTGGAGGAGGAGGGAACGAGTTTATCTCGTCACGCGTGGTAACAACCTTTAGTTAAGGCGATTAGAGTCAGGCGACTCGTCGGTCGCGGCTGTTATCGTCGTGCCACGGCAGATTGTTATTTATAGAGAGAAAGTACACGTCGCAACGCGGAGACTCGCGCGAGGAAAAGGTACCGGGGCCGCCCCGGACGATTCCTCCTGCCGAGATTTCGTCGCGAATTCGACTTTAGAAAGCCATTGCGAGAGCTACGACAGAAACCGCGACTGGAATGGCAAAGTCCGGTGATTCAGCGAGTCGAGGCCTACCGCGCGTGTGACGGGCATTCGAATCTCGGCTTCGAGAGGACTCGTAGTTCCGAGGATATTCGAGAGAGATCGAAGATTCGCGGGATTCGACATTCCGATGGAACAGTGGAACCGATGCGAACGATCTCGACGCGGTTCCGAAGCAACCGCCTATTGCCCGGCTCGCAACCTACGACTCCTCTCGAGCGTACACGGTCCTCCGTGGCCGGGCGCAACGCGTGCAAGGACACCTCCATAAAGAGGGTCGTATCTCGCATCTAAATTCCTGCGCCCACGAAAAGAGCGAATCTTGCGCAAGCATTCCCGCCGGAACGACCTGCCGCTGCCAGAATAGCCGACTTATTCCCGTTGAACGAATCCAACGGCGAGACAAAGGACACCGGGTATATCCAAT